TGAGTGAGTGGTGAGTGTGTGGTGAGTGAGTGAGTGGTGAGTGAGTGAGTAGGTGGTGAGTGAGTGAGTAGGTGGTGAGTGAGTGGTGAGTGAGTGAGTGAGCGAGTGAGTGAGTGAGTGGTGAGTGAGTGAGTGAGTAGGTGGTGAGTAGGTGGTGAGTGAGTGAGTGGTGAGTGAGTGAGTGTGTGGTGAGTGAGTGAGTGAGTAGGTGGTGAGTGAGTAGGTGGTGAGTAGGTGGTGAGTGAGTGAGTGGGTGAGTGAGTAGGTGGTGAGTGAGTGAGTGTGTGAGTGTGTGGTGAGTGAGTGAGTGAGTGGTGAGTGAGTGAGTGGTGAGTGAGTGAGTGGGTGGTGAGTGAGTGGTGAGTGAGTGAGTGGGTGAGTGAGTGAGTGGTGAGTGAGTGAGTGTGTGGTGAGTAGGTGGTGAGTGAGTGAGTGTGTGAGTGTGTGGTGAGTGAGTGAGTGAGTGGTGAGTGAGTGAGTGGGTGAGTGAGTGGTGAGTGAGTGAGTGGGTGAGTGAGTGGTGAGTGAGTGAGTGGGTGAGTAGGTGGTGAATGAGTGAGTGGTGAGTGAGTGAATGAGTGGGTGAGTGAGTGGTGAGTGAGTGAGTGAGTGGTGAGTGAGTGAGTGGGTGAGTGAGTGAGTGAATGGGTGAGTGAGTGAGTGGTGAGTGTGTGGTGAGTGAGTGAGTGATTGAGTGTGTGGTGAGTGAGTGATTGAGTGAGTGAGATAGTGAGTGAGTGAGTGTGTGGTGAGTAGGTGGTGAGTGAGTGAGTGAGTAGGTGGTGAGTGTGTGGTGAGTGAGTGAGTGAGTAGGTGGTGAGTGGTGAGTGAGTGGTGAGTGAGTGAATGAGTGGGTGAGTGAGTGGTGAGTGAGTGAGTGAGTGGTGAGTGAGTGAGTGGGTGAGTGAGTGAGTGAATGGGTGAGTGAGTGAGTGGTGAGTGTGTGGTGAGTGAGTGAGTGATTGAGTGTGTGTTGAGTGAGTGAGTGATTGAGTGAGATAGTGAGTGAGTGAGTGTGTGGTGAGTAGGTGGTGAGTGAGTGAGTGAGTAGGTGGTGAGTGTGTGGTGAGTGAGTGAGTAGGTGGTGAGTGGTGAGTGAGTGGTGAGTGAGTGAGTGAGTGGTGAGTGGTGAGTGAGTGGTGAGTGAGTGGTGAGTGAGTGAGTGGTGAGTAGGTGGTGAGTGAGTGGTGAGTGATTGAGTGAGTGAGTGGTGAGTGAGTGAGTGTGTGAGTGTGTGGTGAGTGAGTGAGTGGGTGGTGAGTGAGTGAGTGTGTGGTGAGTGAGTGAGTGAGTAGGTGGTGAGTGAGTGAGTAGGTGGTGAGTGAGTGAGTAGGTAGTGAGTGAGTGAGTGGTGAGTGAGTGAGTGGGTGAGTGA